ATATTGCGTGCACTATGTTGAGACAAGATGATGGTTGGAGGTAGTCAATTGTGAATACATCTTAGTTCTACAGGAAGTCAGTCGCGGCCTGGATAGCCCAGTGGCAAAGTCTCTGGCTTTAAAGCTAGGTGATACGGAACCGAATCCGTCAAGGAGCATCATTTCTCTCAAGATTACAGGTACACCTTGCTGACGTGTGCCAAATAGCACGAAACCTGGATCCAGGGTTTCCCGTTGACTACGTCCAACCACCATCTTAGCTTAGTACCTATTGAACAAGACACTAATCTTTTCCAGATGATCGCAGTTTTCACAATACTCTATAAGCCCACAAAGACATATTGTTTTACAAAGCCAATACCATGAGAAAAGGTGATAAAAAATTCAAAACAATCTCATCACATAGTGTGATTAAGTTATTTCCACAAACTTACTTTTATGTCTGTGCAGCTTGAATGGTACAAATTGTCAGTTATGCCTAAAACGTTTGACAGTAAACAAATTCGAAAGATCACAATGCTAAGAATTTGATGGGAAATTATAAATTATTCGATGACTTTACGTGCCCACGTAGTAACTCACGAAATAAAAGAAAACACAGTTACTGATTTCACTTACATAATTACACCTACAACTTTCTATTTTAAAAAAAATATTCAGTAAAACAAGTATTTCTCAAAGTGATGTATAAAGGCTGGAGAATTAATCTATATTTTATTGTCTTTGAATGCATCATAATAAAAAGTAAAATGTGACATACACAAACGGTTACATGTGTTCTTTTAAATCTGATATTACTTTTCAATAGGTACGATAGATTAATACTTTAATTTCGTGTTATATAAGTGATGACGTGAAGTTAGCTATAACCAGAGAATTAAATACCTATGCAACAGAAGGGATTTTGTAAAGATTTTAGTAATTTCAATAGTGGAAATCATGAATCAATTGAAGCTAGACCACCGTGGAAAACCTGGAAGCACTGAACGGCCGTTTCGCCCTAGTATGGGACTCCTCATCAGTGCTCATCCGTGACCCCGCGCGGCGAGATTCGAACCCAGGACCTAACAGTTTAGCGCGCGAGCGCTTAACCATTAGACCACTGGGCTGGCATCCAATGGTGTTAATGTCTAATGGTCTCTGGTTTGAATCTTGTGGGGGGATCGCGGATGTGCACTACTGAGGAGTCCCAAACTAGGACGAAACGGCCTTCCTGTGCTTCCAGGTTTTCCATGGTGGTCTGACTTAAATTGACTCATGATTTTAACTTATGCAACATTTGAAAATGTAACCAGATAACAATAACATCGATAAAATAGTTCAACCTACTTCTCCATCAATAGCATCAAAGAAAATCTATGGTTCAAGACGAATTTTCAGTTTATTTCATATTGCTGAAATGATTCTGTTGTTGAATATAACTAAACAACTGTTTCTTTAATTATTTATCAGTTAACCCGAAAATATTACGGAAATGTGATTCATAGTAAGTATTAGTATGAGGGTCTCGAGAAGATGACTGAATTTTATGTTTTACATCACAAAATTAGAATAGTTAGACAATCATCACAAATCATGTAGTCCTGGACTGCTATTTTGTTCTAGCATGAGACTCGTCATCAGTGAGAATCCATAACCTCACTGGGGATAAGACATAAGACCTTCAAGTTTCGCCGCTAGCGTTTAACCTTCGGATGACTGAGTCTGTATTCAATATTTAGCATTTCTAACTTCTATAGAAGCGAATCGTGAAATTTTACAATTCCTACGAACCCCTCATAAAAATAATATTAATCATGAGTTTACCAGTAACTAATTCAGATAGGTGATTCTATAAGTTCTAGTGAGATACCTTGGCCAATGGAGTTTGACTGTGTTGGATGTGAGGCAATAGTATTAAAGAATGGTTGAGTAATCTCCAGAATTGATTGAAGTAAGAAATGTTAACCATGAGTTTTGTCAAAGTTAGGAATTCTCAGATTCAGGAGTGAATTAATGGAAGGAATTTTCTTTGTAGCCTACATCCAATCTTTAATCAGCCAAAACCATGTTTTATAAGTGTTTTTAGTGGTGATAATCTTTCACTCATCTTTAATCAAAAGAGTCTTCTATCAGATCACCATCCTTTAAACTACTTAGTTGACATCCAGCAGTTCACATTTCTAAAAGTTATCTTGCATTCCTATTTCTGAGTAACCACCCTACTTCCCCAGCTCTATCCCAGATAGGATCGATGTGTGCTAGAACAAAACAGATGTCTAGTGCCTATTTTTTTTCAATGGTCGTCTACCTATAGTCACTTCATAATCCAAGTTAGAATACTCAATCTTCACAGACCGTCTATACTTTGAAATTGTTAAAACTTTTCACAAAGCACCCAACCAAATAATTTATTTGTTACTGTGTGTAAAATTGTAGTGATTTTTTACTTCTTCACCCATCGAAATGTTTAGTTTCATTGTAGTGGCAGAGATTAATTATCTCTATGATGTAGGTCATGTAAATTAAAGCATATATGGAACTATAGTTTTGTTTCAATGAATTGACAATTATAATTATCACTAATATTATTAAATTATTAATAAAACTATTATCTCAAATGTTTTGCTTTATTGATGAATCTGATTCTCCTTTTCATAGCTTTATACTAATTGTAGGTGGCCTATAACTACAATGAATTAACTTGAAAGTAAACATTGGTTGATAATGATAAATATGAGAAGTTGTATTTTCCTATAAATTCAATTCGAACTCAGTTCATAAACTAGTAACTATCTAAATTCAATAACTTAGTGAATAACAAACGCACTGACTTTTGCTGTGAATGTTACTGAGTTTATGACCCAGCGTGTCATGACATTTAGCTGACAAGTTTCAAATAGAACGAAATACTCTTTTTGAATTCCACTACTACTCGCTATCCAACTTGAATCAAATCAAATTATGCTCAGTGTCATAGAAAGAAAATCGGACGTTTAAATTACGCAACCTACAAGTGAATGTTTGAACCCCATCTCCGTTGTTATTCAGGACTATGGTGACCAGCTACAGTAATCACCCAAATGCACGTATATTTAACTCATAAGTTTTATATAGAATAACAAGTATATTTGGAATTCCATTGCTAGACAGATAGGATATTCTACGCTTTAATATGGATAGAAACGTTTTAAAGGAGTGGGCTAGCAATAATCTTGGTAATAACAGTAATACTTTACCGAATACTAAATGTTTCATTAAACCGATGAATTTCTAGTAAACAATGTACAATACTAAAACAATAATCCCGTTTTATGAACATTTAACTTTGGAATAACCAATGATTAACTACTATTTTTATATATGCGCAAGTTTTGCCATCAGTCAAGCTTGTGTAACATCTATTTCTATACCAGAATATATTTCGATGCATGAATTGTATAGTAATCAGCTTCTATTTATTTCAAAGAGTAGAGAACGATGATAATTCAATGGGGTACTTTTCTTGAGTTCCTCAGCGATTTTATTCATTATAAGCTGTAAACATACAAGATTATAAGACGGAATAACCTAATTAAAAAGTAATATAAAATGATAAGTTCCTAAACAATAGATATATGTTTGAAAGTCTATAAACAATACGTTTAAAGAGATCATTGAGAAATACTTATGATGTCAACAAATATAAACTACTGAGAATGATAATAAACACAACAATGATATCAATGATGTAATATAACCTGGCTGACGCCATATAACCAAAATACGGTTATAAAATCTAATTGACAGTGAGTATTTTATCGGTTTGCACACATACTCGATTCACCATGACAAATCGCTTATAAGTTTTAATTATCTTTCCACCTTCACATTTGTTATTATTATTATTTGAAGGCTGAGAAAATGTCGATTAATTTGATACCCTGTGTGTTGCGTGTTCTTCGGTTATCGCACAATTTAATATAATTTTGCGAGTTCCTGAGATGTAAGTGAAGATCGTTCAACGAAAACACCCGGAATATTACAGTTTTGGGTATGTTTTTATTTCAAAGGATCAAAAACAGCTTTATTGAATACATTTCATTATAACTCAGGCAGAATTTATTACCAGCTAAAGGTATACTAAATAAAAAATAGTGACAGTTGTTAGTTTGGCTTTGAAACAGATAATTTCCTTCGAATTCACAGCATATGACACCTTTAACGGTTTTGATGGCAAATAATTTTGTTTGGAAAGTGTTAAAGATATATGTTTGATATGTATCATTAGAGAGATACCACAGTCGAGTAAATCAGTCGCTGTTAAATTATCAATGTCACTTTTTATTTGAATGGGTTTTATGGAGATCGGTTTTAAAATATTACACTGGCTGTTCTGTTGTGAGACCAAAAGTTTCCCGATCCGATATAGGTGGGGTGCTGGGTGCTTGCGGCTGGAGAATCCCATACTAGTACAAAAGCTGTCTACTGCTCAGTGGTTTTCATTGTTATCCTGACTAAAGTCAATCTGTGGGGAATTCAAAATTTTGTTTAACCATTATTGAGAAATAACTTACGTCGAGTGTGTATATATGATGTAATCCCAAGGCGCAATAGCATAATATCACTACTGTTTAAAATCTACTTATCAAATCGTTAGAGACTCACAGTTATTCTTCTTTAACTTCTGAATAAATTTTCCCTCAAACAGGTTCAAAATGTGATGTATGATAGATTGCTTAGAGTTGAAATATTTCAATAGCAAAATTCTGACCTGATTGTTTTTAGAGTGAAATGGTCTAAATACACTATGACATTGATCTCCAACAAGTGGAAATTAATTCATTGACGAGTACTTTCGAATTAAATTTACATTAATCGAAATATCAAAGCAAAATACATTTAGTTATTTTAACGCATGACAGTTAAGCAATAAATGTGGGAAAGTTCCTAGTTTGAAACTCTATTGGTTGAATCAATCAACCAATTATATTTAGTGATATTATTAGCCTATTAAAACAGGAAATAATCAAGATTAACTCATTTGAATCTTTGTAGTCGTCATGACAAGATAGGATAGTCTGAAGGTTCTGTCTCAGTGTAAATACGAGTTAATATAAATTACTATTATAGTACAATTTGATTCTCAATGTAATTTTTAGCAAAATATGACTTTTAAACATGATAATATGTGCACCTTTAAAACACGAAATGAATAACCTCATGAATCAAGACAGAATTCAATTCAAATCATCTTTGAAAAACATTTATTCTGATACATTACATGATACAACAATTAGAGAAGATGACAATGAGGACAATAGTGATAGTGATGATGATGATGGCGATGAAGATGATGGTAGTAGGGCTGAAAAAGCGTCTACTGATGATGACACTTTATCAACAACACAGTGTGATCCTGAAAGACTCGAACAATTCAATTATAAAGAAACTACCTCAGATATTACCTCTTCTCTTGCATTTCTGAGCCGACGTATTACACGGAAATATGCTAGTGAATTTATTTTACCAGATGATACACGTATTGCTGTCAGTCGTCTTGAAGGTATATATCCAATGGATAATAATGAGCAAGTTATATTAAGCTTATCAGTTGGGCATAAATACATACACATTGGCCAACAAGCAACAAATATGGATCAGTCTTCACCAATAACAACGCAAACTAATCCAGTGAATTCTTTCAATAAACAAGTTTCTTTAAGTAGTTCAGAGAAATTGAATGGTTCTAATTATCACCGTATTATCAACAAACCGAGTTTAAATCATACTATAGAGGAAACTAATATTGATGAGGTAAGCTTAATTATTGATTTCAACCTATGAAATTTCTAAAAACTCTCCACAAAACCCATTCTGATTTCCACTGTGTTTATTTGACAGTAATCATTATTTCAAGGCATACACTATATAATCTATGTATTTTATGATAGAATGTAAGACGTTTTACCTGAGTAGTATGTTTGGTGGAAAACAAGAGAATCATTAGGATACATTTTCGTGAAACAATTTATGAAATATGATCGTTATGATTATTATATCTTGATTACTAAATTGTGGTATTTTGGCAGTCGGTGAGATATCATGAGCTTATAGCTTTGTGTAAGCGTTCATTACCCCTAGTTGTCATATATCATTGGTACAGTTACACAAAATCTTCAAGATGGATAGAATTGGAGTTAAAACAACAGTAGTATCAATGAAAGAAGCTCACAATCTAGTGGGAATATAAAGAATGCGTGGATTTGTACTAGTGAAATCGGTTCTGACCCATTTTATTGAACAGCTATAAACACTAATCACAGTTGTCACATGAAGTCAGTAAGTATCAAGAGGAATTAATCCAAAAGTTAGTAGTTCCATGTATGGAATCCGTATCTTGGTTTGATCGATCCTAGTTTTATTTCGAGTTATTTCTACATTGGCCAAGATAATAAATAGTGTTAAGGGTAGAATGAATTCTTGCAACTCCAACATGAATACTTTACAAATTTCCAAAAGATTCAAACGTATACTGATAACGATAACTGTGGTTTAGAAGCCTGTCCACAAAATATCTAGAACTGTTCGTACAGAAGATAACATAGAACCGAAAACGCCAATTCAACTAACTTATTGACGTTTTGTACACAATAGTAAAATATGAACCTTAAGTGAACTTGAATTAAATTTCAAATTTTACTAATAAGATAATAAGGGAGAATTTACTTATATATTGTGGTGCACAACTTGATAATCGAATCCAGTACCTTCGGTCTCGCGCATGAACGCTTAAGCTGAGCGCGTGACTGAAGGTACGGGGTTCGATTACTCCTTGTGGAATCATGGATATGAACTGCTGAAGAGTCTCATATTAGAACGAAACATCTATGCAGTGCTTCCAGGTTAGATGGTGGTTGGAGGCAGTCAACAGGAAACCCTGGACCCGGGTTTGTGCTACTTGGCAATCGTCAGCAAGGTGTACCTCCAATCACCATCTAATCTCAACATAGTGCACGCAATGTCTAGTCACCTAGACTAGCGGCCATATTGCGACTTGGTCGGTACTATTCGATCTGCACTGAGAAGGACTCGAAACCCATGACATTGATCACCACCCAGTGATCAATCAATTGTGAGTGCTTCCAAGTTTTCAATGGTTCGTAATTTCAATGAAATTTAGAATCTTCACAATCCCATACCGACAACTACACAAATTAGCATAAAGTTGTTTTCCAAGGTGATCTTTTTTAGAAATTGTATTTTATCAATTTGAGGTTGTGGAGATTGTTCAGTTTTTGATTGAGATCATGAACTGATTGATGTTAGACCACCATTGAAAACCTGGAAGCATTGGACGGCCGTTTCGTCCTATTGTGGGACTCCTCAGCAGTGCGCATCCGCGATCCTGCTCGCGGGATTCGAACCCATGGCCTTCAGTGTCGCGCGTTTGTGCGCGAGATTGATTATATTCGAAATTGACGAAAGTGTATGATCAATAAAATATTGTTAGATAAATTATTTCGGTATAGATAAACTAAAAATGATTGACTATAGACTTAGTATTTGTTTTCATTAGTAATGTACTTCTACAACATTGTCGTATATTTCTTGTATTTAAAAGTGAGTTATTAGAATCATTTCCATAATACTTAGAAGAAAATGGTATTAATATGGATGTATAAATAGATCTACTTATGATGCGACAACTCAAATTTAGATTCATGAACTCCGCTTGAAGTCAAACTTTATGTATGAGGAATAGTGATACTATCCATCTGATTAAATTGAAGTTGAAACAAAGGGACTAGAATGTTCAATATAGCGGCTGAATGTTAAATGCCTTGACCATTAAGTCAACAAATCGCTAGGAGCCTTAATAATAACACATTGAAGTGTAAACTACTTATGATGAATATTTAATCGTTTTCTTCTGAGTAAAGTTTTCATTGACTCTAAGTGTGTTAGCGAAAAAGTTCATTTGACCAGGATCAGTTGATCATACCAGTCGACTCATTTAAAACATAATATCATTCGTTAGATTATTTTTATCTAGACTACAAACAGCTTATATCATATAACATAAATTATTTAATGCACTGAATATTTGACAACATCAAATAATTCAGTGAATTCTAAGCAACTCATACATTGCTGTCTAGTTACCGATTTTAAATAAACTTGGCTGATCGTGTATTTTTTACAGTACATATTCCTTGAGTTAAGTTGAACTGTGCATACTTACATACACCTGTTACCTCTCATGGAGAAGCATAGGTCGCTCACTAGCATTTTCCATCCAACTCTGTCTTGGGCAATCGTTTCCGATTCTCTTCAGTTGCTATTCATCCTTTTCATGTCTGCTTCCAATTTTCTACGTAGTGTGTTCTCTGGCCTTCCTCTTTTTGGTCTCGCTCCAGGGCTCCAAGTTAGTGCTTGCCTCGTGATTCACTTTGTTAATTTCTTCGCAGTATATATATATATATATATATATATATATATATATATATATATATATATATGCAAAAAAGATAAATCAAATTATATAAAACATGATCGAATATTTGGTATAATTATAATTTATGAACAACCTTTGAGCGGTGCTAACGTGACCTTGAGGATGTCCACCTACTAACTAGGACTAATTGAAGGTTATAACTCAGTGTAAGGAATTAAAATTATGATTTAAAGTTGATGGTTAGGGTTAGGAACAAGGTTTAGGGTTTTCATCATGAACTGATAACAGCTAAAATGCCTAAACGTTATTTTGCCAAATGAATAAATGAATTTCGCACTGAAATCCAAGACCTTATATTCCAAATCTGATTAGTTCATTTATTGAGAAACAGTAAAAGACAATATGTGTTATACAAGAATCTTCAATTTGTATTGGTAAATGCCGAGTAAAGCTGGAAACGTGTAGTCTTCGAGCACTCTAAAATAAGTGTCAAAATTTATTCTTTTTCAAGGATCCACACATTATAGAGAAAGAGAGAGAACTAATCAAAAGAATTTTAATTTTGAAACAGGCTTCTTTTCATTTCAAATATAATAAATCATGATATACTCTAACTCAATGAATGAAAGTAATTCATGCTCATGCACATAAATGTATACACGTAGTTATACAAAAATGATCATATGAAGCAGGGTGAATCTATTCTAACAGATACAGTCTGAAATGCTATTGTTTTGTTAACCTAAATGTGATGGGTCAAACAAATGAAACATTTAAGTTCAATTAATTTATGATAATAATAATGACAATAATGAACATATACATTTTGCAACGAGAAACAGGACTCAGGTTCTGTTGTTATTAACCAATTAGAATAAATTAACCATTTAAAATGAAGAGATTAATAACAAAACAGTGTAAAATTTAATTGTTTGGCTAAATGTATAGAAGATGTAATCGAGCAAGTTAGTCTTAATTAATCATTTCCATGAGGCAGTCAATGCTAGACCATCATTGAGAATCTGGGAGAACTGAACGGCCGTCTCATCCTAGTGTGGGGTTCTTTAAGCAGTGCCTATACACGATCCCGCATGTGGATTTCGAATGCAGGAAAGTCGGCCTTGTGTAAACATGCAACCCTTAGACCACTGAGATAGCATCCCAATTCAAATCCCCTGTCACCATAAACAAAAGTATGATCTGTTTATGAGTTTGACAGCCATTATGGTAAGTTAATGCTTGTCTGATAGGAGAAAGGTGAATAATTCTGGATTTCCAGTTAAAGTTAATCTATTTTGAGATCCTTTGACCAAAAGCAAACTGAAATTATCTAGGCAGCTGGATGGATTCGGTTAGACATAGTGAGAGTTCGTACCAGCTATTTGGCAACTTTATTTCAAATGTTTCAATCACTCAGATGCAAAACAAACGTGACAAACACGTTACAACAAACAGCAGCGAGTATTAGAGCTTTTCTGAATGTCCTTTTTTCTCTCTCTCAGTTGTGTGTGTAATGTTAACTTTAAAATAATGTTATTTGTCTGATCTATCCAGTTTGAGTAGACTCCATTTTCTGTTAGAAGAACTCCATAATTACTGTTTACCTTAGAATAAACAAGTAATCCTCAAATTATAATATTGATCAAAACCATCAAGATATTATAACAACAATCAGTGTCTCACTAGGGCTGACCAATAAAATAGGTAGAAATCTATCACTCAAATTTCTCGGTGTATTCCACTTAACAGGTATATTACTTACATGACAATCATATGGCTCAGCTAACGTCAAATTTTAATTTACACATGAATGTTACTGATCGATTGACTCTGATACAAAGATACAATGGGTTTTGCTTTTAAAAACTAGCATAGAATTTCAGTATAACAGCTTTCTCTTGGATAGTCGTATTTTCGAATTTTCTGAAGAAACCGGATCAATAAGTTTTAAAATGGCAATAACTAATCGTCACCCGAATAAGTGAAGCATAAATATACCATTCTAAAGGGTCACTTGATTACTGTTATTTTTGTTTTCAAATATTAGACGTCTTTTCAGTGAATCAGTATTGACATTTTCATCATACGGATTAGCAGTTTCCTATTCTATTGTTTGTATAAAATTGAAGGTACTTAAAAATTTTGTGGCTATAAACCAAACAACTGTACATCAACACCTCACTACACATTTCAGTTGTCGTTTATGTTTGTCAATGTCAGTCTAAAATGTAATTTATGATTATCTTGCGTATAATTTCTTGCTAATATCACAAACTAATCTAAGCTGGACGATGATTGACAACCAGGAAGCGTTTAAGTGCTGTTTCGTTCTAGTATGAGTGTTGCGTCCCTTTTTAAC